GTTAAGTTAACTCCACGACTTTTATATACTTTTCATGTTATTTTAGGATGTTTTAATTGCTATCAGTTCATGCATATTAATCTGGTTAGTTCATGCATATTAGGTAAGACTTGTTTTGTGTTAGATGTTATTTTGATGCATATTCATCATGCTAGTCACCTAACCAGGTTATAAGTTCATATTGTGTGCATTACTAGCATGTTTAGGATCATTGTATAATGTTTCGTGTTTTATTGGCATGGTGATGAGGAGTACAAGGTGAGTCTTCTTACTTCATAGCATGTTGCTTGCTTACTTGATGCATTGTTTTTCAATAATTCAAATTTATGTGCTTGTAGTGATCAATTGTGTGTTTTGAATGATTTCAATGATATTGTTTGAACTGGGTTGTGTTTATAACCATGTGATGTTTAAGGCCACCTTTTGTGAAGAAAATCATTATTTTATGAAAAATCATTGGCTTACATGGTTGTATTTATAAATCCAATTTAGGTGATATAAAGTTTATTCAATCACGTAGGTGTTAGGGTTAATAAATGATTAATGGTTAATAATTGAGTGCATGGAGTCAATTAATCATTAAATCTCATGAAATAAAGAATTTGTAAAGGATAATTAATTGATTAGGTGAGAGGGGTGCTCACACAATGACCTTCCCTTTTTGTACCTAAATTCTCGAGCTGAGAATATTTGGTTATAACATATTAGTGTCTATATTTTAGAGTTAAAAGGTTTCTTATAAGATAATAAAACCCTTGGGTTTCTATTGGGGATGGGAGTTTCAACACTAGGGTTTCTACAGGGGAGAGAAAGATAATAAAACCCTAGCTATTGCTAAGTGAGTGGTGAGAGGGAGAGACGGGGAGAGAGAGGGTTTGATTTGTTTGTGTTTCCATTGTGGATACTATATATATATATATAAATAAATATAATCACACATAATTAAAATATATATATATATATATAACCACACTTAATTAAAAAGTGTGATTAAAAAATATATATATAATCACACTTAAATTAAAAAGTGACATAAAATATAAATATTATCACACCCAATCAAATCAAGTGTGATTAAAATATCAATCTAATTTATTTATTTTTTTATCATACTTCTAATAAAAGTGAGATATTTTTATTTATCAAAGTATGATCTTTAACTATTTTTGTAGTAGTGTTAGTTTCTCATAAAAGACTAAATGGTAACTCTTTGTTGGGAATCGATCTATTTTGATAACTTATAGGATAACAATTGTGGGATAGACGATTCATTATCAGTGTAGAACATATAATTCAAATTCGATGTAGGATATTAGAGTTTGGTACAATGTGTGAAAACACGCCCTAATAATAAAAAAGGCACGACGTCCACAGTTGGTGACTCTTCTGGAGACTAAGAGAGTTTAACTTGAAAACTTTTATTTTATGAGATTTGTATGTTTAATTGATTCATTGCATTGCATCATTGTGAGCTCAATTTTACCCTGCTTCGTTGCTCAATATCCCGGATAGCCTGCCGTTTGTGAGCTATGTTGATGTCAACAAGCAAGCATCGAACTTTAGCCATTACGTACTGTTTGATCGCCTCCCTTGCACATCCAAGGTGGTCTGCGAGAGATATATAAATAGCAATAGTTGATGTATCCTTTTGACTAAACCTACCATTTGCATGTAACAAGCAATACAGCCTTCCAAACTAGAACATGATGCTTCCCTATTTAGGATTATATGTTAGGCCTATGGGACTCATCTAAGCTCAAATTATTTCCTTGTTTGGCTGGACCTTAGTCGGGGTTGCTGCTAATTGGTATGATAAATTAGAAGGTGAAGTCAAGTAGAAGTGAGAAAGTCCTAGCTGAGGTATTTGTTGTCCAATAATCATACAATGCTTAGTTAAAAGTAATAATGCGAGAATTAGAGATGACCCGACAAGAGCCAAAAGAAAGTTTCAGTGACTTTGCAACAAGGTGGAGGTCTAAAGCTGTTTGAATGACTAATTGTCCGAATGAAAGAGATCAAGTCCGAACAGTGGTTAGAAATCTACAACCAGCTCTACTCAAATAGATGCTTCCCATACCTCTCTCAAATTTCAAAGATCTATTTGAGATGGGCAACCGAACCAAAGATGGCATAAGTCAAGATTTGCTCCTCATATGCTCTTATATTGAGATATGAATACGAGAGAAACCTAACCCATTTAGTTATCTTAAAGTGTATTTTACTTATGCCTCATTAATTATAATTTTGTGAGGTCGTAACTAATACTATTTTGGATTTAATCAAAGATCATTTTAATCATAATCAAAATTATAACAATTATATCATAATTATTACTTTGAAACGTAACTAAACACTATAATAATTAATTTGAATTGAAACATTATTTACAGTAGTCACACTGATTCATAATCAAACATTGTAAATTTTTTTTGACAATAACTTACATATACTATCCACCCGTTTGTGATATTGCATAATATTTAAAATTTGTTAATTTTTTTTTATATATTTTACATGAAAAGTAAATACATTAAAATATATATATATATATATATTTAACTCTAACCACATTAAGAAAACTCATTTAAGAATAAAATTTAGATAGTAGTAATCAAATTTAGGGTAAACAATTATTCTAGTTGACTTTCTGATTTTTAATAAAAAAAATATAAAAGAGTTGACTTTTGATAATAATTTTTTGACTTTTTGTTTGATTATTTTAGATAAGGGGAAGTAACAAGTCAGTAGGCACTAAATACAAATTAATGATAAAATTTATAAATATTAATAATTAACATTATAATTTTTTTTTTATAAATTTGTAATAATTTCACCACTCTGGATAGAAATTTTCCCTTTTGATAATTTTTGACTTGCCAATTAATTCTTCACTTTTTGTTAATTAATGCTAGTCTTCTTACTCTAAAAAAAAATCCTAAGTTAACTCTCTAATAAACTACACGAAAGCAAAGGAGTGTTTGGGAACTTGGATTTAGACTATAATAGTTAATAAAGACAAAATAGGAAGGGCTGTTATTTGTCCTCACCTTTTTACTTTGGCCTCTCCACTTCTTTGAACCCTCACCCAGCAAAATGAAACCCCTCAATTTTCTCTTTGAACCCTCACCTTAATACAAACTATACCCCTAACCCTAAATCCAAACCCTAATCCTAACCCTAACCCTAGCCCTAACCCTAATCCTAATCCCATCTCCACCAATGTTGGCCAACCCAGCATCAACGTCGGCATCCCTTGAAGTTCTAGCCCCACATGGCGCCATCTTCCCCCTCACTTCACTTCTGCAACTTTGGCCAACCACCACTGCCAAAATCAAATCCCCAAATCAAAACGCTAAATCAACTCTGGCCAACCACCACCGCCACTTCACTTTTGCAACTTTGCCATTCTCTACTTCTTCCTTCTCTTCTTCTTCCTCCTTCTCCTCTCCTTTTCCTATTCTTCTTCTTCCACCAAAACCTTAACAGTTGAACAAATCTTTTATGTTCATCACTATATTACCAAACCAAAAGGATTCGTTCAGCATTGTGTTACTGAATATCCAGGATTTGTTCAGCATTGTGTTGTGAACCCACTCCACCATCGTCACCTCCTCATCCGTTGTGTGTGTGTGCGCGCGAGAAAGAGATGAAAACCTAGGGTTTCATAAGAAACGACGATAAACCCCATGACTGGCGGTGCCCTTAGCTTTGGAGATAAGACCCAAAGCCAAATCAAAACCCCTTGCCCCTCCTTTTCACTGCCCTGCTATATCATTATCATTGAAGCCAAATCAAAACTCGTGATCTCTCTCTCTTTTCCTTATCCTTCTTCGCGATTCTCTCTTTCTTTATCTCATACTGCTAGTGATGATGGATTGTGGGGTTAGGGTTTGAAAGGAAGGGGTGGAGAGGCAGCATCAAACAAGAAAGGGGACTGGTCGGAGGTGGTGGCGAAAGTAAGATGGTGATAAATGTGGTAATGACTGCCGGAGGTGATGGGGATGTGATTAGGGTTAGGATTAGGGTTAGGATTAGGATTTGGAAAATTAGGGTTAGAAGATTAAGGATGAGGGTAGAAGTGGAATTCTAGGTTGGGATAAAATTGAAATTAAAAAAAAAATGGAAGAAATGCGAGTTCTAAGAAGAAATGTAGTGATTAATAGCAAGACTAATGCTTGGGGCCTCGACAAATCGAGGCTCAAATGCCTCGAATTGTTTTTTTTTTATTTTTTTATTATTTATTTGTTAGGTTGTGTTGGTTTATTTGTTTTTTTTTGGAAGGGTGGTTATGTGTAGGGGTGTGCCAAAAAATTAGATATCCTGTATCAACTCAGCCTATGTGATTTAATAAGGTGAGTGAGTTGGGTTGGACTGGTTGGGCAATAAAACTGACTGGTCAGTTAAGCTGCTGGTTAAAATTTGTTAATTCCATATAGTTTTGTACGAGTCCCTACTATATTTTTTATTTCAATTTTCTTCGAGTCTTCCTGATTTGAAATAAAATAAAAATAAAGACTCGTACAAAACTATATGAAATTAACAAATTTTAACCAGTAGCTTAACTAATCATCCAATTTTATCACCCAACCAATCCAACCCAACCCACTCACTTTATCAAATTACACGGGCAAAGCTAGTACGGGACGTCTAGTTTTTTAATACACCTCTACACATAACCACCCTTCCATACAAAAAATAAAATAATAAAAATAAAAATAAAATTCGAGGCATTCGAGCCTCGATTTGTCAAGACTCCTAGCATTGCTCTAATAGCAATGCTCTAAAATAGATTGAAATAGTCAATAAAATAAAATGTCACATTAAAATCATAATTATTTTACATTTTTGTTAACTATAAAAAAAAATTAACTATCATCTTAAACAAAATTATTTTAATTAAACTAAAATAATTAAAAAAAAATTAATTAAAATAACCTATTCACAAAGGTAGAATGAAATTTGACTGACAGGCAACAGTCAAAGCCAAACTCGACAGTTTCTCTCTAAAATCCCACAAAATCTATTGTCCCAAACCCCATTGCACCATCTTCTTCCTCTGTCTGTCCGTCCGTCCGTCCGTCTGTCCGTCTGTCTGTCTGTCTCTCTCTCTCTCTCTCTCTCTGTAACATATATATCCATATACATATACATATACATATATATACATACATACATACATACATACATACATAAACGATTCAATTTATATTACAATCAAGCAATGCAGGCCAAAACCCTAACCCTAGCTCCACCACCAGGCCTTAATCTTTTCCCAACCCTCAAACCCCCTCATAGAACCCTAACTTTCTACCGATTCTCAGTTCTCCTCATCACCTTCATCGCCTACGCCTCCTTCCACGCCTCTCGCAAGCCTCCGAGCATCGTCAAGAGCGTGCTCGGCCCTGAAATTCGACCCCAAAACACCACCTCTCTGCAATTCGACGACAACCCTTTTGAAATCGACACCGGTTGGGCTCCATTCAATGGATCAGACGGTGCCCACCGCCTCGGCGAGCTCGATCTCACATTCCTCTTGGCCTACTCGGTGGGAATGTACTTTTCGGGCCACATTGGTGATCGGATTGATCTCCGCCTGTTTTTGACAATTGGGATGATGGGTAGTGGTGTTTTCACTGTAATTTTTGGGTTAGGGTATTGGTTGAATGTTCATGTCTTGGGGTTCTTTCTATTGGTTCAGGTGCAGTGTGGGTTGTTTCAGTCAATTGGGTGGCCTTGTGTTGTTGCTGTAGTTGGGAACTGGTTTGGAAAGTCCAAAAGAGGGTTGATAATGGGTGTATGGAATTCACATACTTCAGTGGGTAATATTATCGGTTCGGTGCTGGCGTCGTCGATGTTGGGTTCCGGGTGGGGTTGGTCCTTTGTGTTGCCTGGGGTTTTTATATTGATGGCAGGGATTGTGGTTTATTTGTTTCTAGTTGTAAGTCCTGAAAATGTCGGACTAGAATTGTCAGGGATGGAGGTTGAAATGAATGTGGAGGGTGTGCCTTTGGTAGATTCAGAGAAAGTTGATTCTGGAGAAGAAGCGTTGCTTCAATCTGAGAACTCAGATTCTTTGGCTGCAATTGGGTTTTTAGAGGCGTGGAGATTGCCAAGTGTCGCACCATTCGCATTCTGCCTCTTCTTCTCTAAGCTTGTGGCTTACACTTTCTTATATTGGCTGCCCTTCTACATAAGGCACACAGGTAAATTGTTTCTAGTGAGTTTTGATTGTGAAATTAGTATTAATATATTTGTGTTAGCTAAAATTTTCTTCTCTGCCCATTGTAAGTATTCCTATAAATTTGTATTGCAATTACAAGTTTTTTTAAATTTATGATTATGATAAATTAATATACAAGCATGTATTTGGTTGTCCCATTGACAATTCATATTTCCCCATTGTAGTTTGCATGGTGTTTGAATGCACTTAGTGATTATCTAGAATAATATTGTTGGAGAACTTTAGAACAATCAGCAAATTTGGTGGTATGGAAAAACTTTGATTTCATGGAGATGCCACCATTTAAGTTCATCCTAAATATAAGCATTCATAAAATGCAATTGATTGATTCTTCTTCCATGAGACATCAAAATGCACTCTAAGGTTGCATTTAGATTTATGAATTTGAAATGAATGGATTTGACATTATGTTACGATCCCACATCGATTAACATAGACCTTGGCCATATGCATATAAGGCTCTTGGTATAAGAGTCATCTATCTCGCCGAGTATGGGATTGGATGGGTGTGGATTTGCAGTTCAAGTCGCAGAAGGGGCGACCTATAGTCTGGTTGAAGACCCTTAAAAAGGTGTCGAATACTAATAGTTGAGTGAAGTAGCCAGAAGAGAAAGGGCTACCACCAGGTTAGTGTCGATTGAGTGAGCCGTTGTGGACGTCGGCTGTTACGATCCCACATTAGTTAACATAGGCCTTGGCCATGTGCATATAAGCCTCTTGGGCACCCTCCCCTTGCAAGTCGGTTTTCATAGGTGAGTTCTACGTAAGGAATTCGTATCATTTCACTAATTTGAGAAGTACAATGTTTAATTCAATATAATATTTTAATATATAGTTGAAGAATGGATTTGAATCAACTTGGTGAAAATAGTTATTTGAAATTCTTAAGGAAATGATTCTACTTGTGCAATAATCTTAACAAAATACACATCTCATGCCCTCTTATTCAATCATCTACTTTAGAATTATCAATCTCCCTTCAGTAGCTTACCTTTATAAAATTAATCTCAAATTCTATCATTTCAAATCTATTTATCAAAATGGGGCCCAAGAGTTATAGTTTACTAAATTGGGGAATTTGGTCAAAACTCTGTCATAACAAAACTTTCATGCATTAATGACACATAAATTTTATCTTGAGAAGGCCAACACACACCGCTATTACCAAAAAATCCTTAGTGACTAATTTTATATTTCAAACTTTAAAATGATATAATTTTTGATTTAGATGTCGGTTTTTAATAGAATTAGTATTTTTGGAATTCTTTCATTGAGATCTATCAAACAAGATCCTTGTTGGTCATGAAATTCTAATTAAAAAAAAAAAAAAAAAAAAAGAAGAAAAAAAAAATGAAGCAAAATTTGATTGTCCAAACTAATGCTAACAGTAAAATTTTACTCTTCTGCTGTCTAATTTTAGCATTTAAATAGTGAAATACCATCACTATCACTAAACATCATATAGTCACTATAACTATTACCCGTTACTAGTAGAAATATTAATTAAAAAAAATTATCAAAACAATGAGATGATAATGTTGAGATTGTAAAATTTTACTGATAATTTAAAACAAAGCATTAACAAACAAAAGACAAATTACATAGCAAACCAGAGTCAAATTTTACTGTTATCTAGACTGAGCATCAGCAAACAAAGCACAAGCCACATATTACCAGAGCAAACTAAAGTAATATTAATCTATCAGTAATTCAGATTCAATAAAAAACAATCATAATAAAGTAATAAACGAAATATATATTGTTCAATCTTCAATCTCACTTGAAAAAGCTTCAGCAATTATTCACTTTTCATCCGAAGAAACAAATGAAATACATATAAAACTCATGATCTCATCCAATCTAAACTAGCTTGAAGTTCTACTGCTCAATTGCAAGTTTTGATCCAAACAATCATTGAAATACAACAAACAAGGTTTGAAATAAAACAATCATTGAAGTTCTACGGCTCAATTGCAAGCTTCGATCATTGCGAACAAGGTTTGAATTAAATCGCGTGGGTCGGTTGCGGCTATGGAACACCCAATTCGCCATCCGTTCGCCAGATTGGCGGATTAGAAAAAATCAATCCGCATTCGTTCACCAACCCGGCGGATGTGGATTGAGCGGATTGACGAATGGATGTGAATCGGTTTGACGGTTTAAAATTTTATGAATTTTCAACATAATTTAACTTGTGCACTTCCTCAAAAAAAAAATAAAAATTACAGTCAATGATTTGAAAAAGTATTACAATCACTACATGCCTCATCCAAAAAAAGAAAGTTTGAAATTTTAGAATATTACCATCACTGCCTGCCTTATTCACATATTACAATCATAGCATGCCTCACTTACATAAAGTATTACAATATGTAGTTCTTAAAATATAAAAACAATTCAAACAATCAAAATCATAAACAAAGAAGTAGTAGAGATTGTATGCATTTGTATTGTTACATCTATATCTGTTTTTGAAAACAAAAATCAACCAGTTTATATCATCTTTTTTGTTTATTATTTTTAGAATTAGATTTAAAAATCAAAAAATATAGATAAATAATACATTTATTTTTTTCAATTCCAAAAATATATTCAAGTTGAAAACTCTTTTTCAACAGAATATTTAAATTCCTTTTCAATTAAAAACACAAACAAAATATTTAAACAAATTGAAAACACAAAGTCATACAAATTGTTAGGGGTGCTCGCGGTTTTGGCGGTTTGGCGGTTCGGTTGTGGCCAAAGGAATCTCAAATCCGTCATCTGTCTAGAACTAGGCGGATTGGAAAAAATCAATCTACAATTCTTCGCTCGTCATCACTCATCCGGCCAAAATGCGGCGGATCGGTTTGGTTCGGTTGGTTTGAGTGGATCGGTATATCCACTGCTCACCCTACTGCATATATAGATGGGCAAAATTGTCCATAGAAAAAAATTTGTCCTGCATGAAGGAGAATTGTATATTGAAGGAGTTTACAAACTAACGAAACAATCCGTCCCCTTATTGCAAGACACGGTCCCTGTGAGGGATTTTTGGGCAAAAAACCCTACTAAAAACAACTCCTTTTTTTTTATAGACTATAAATTCCACTCACTTGATTGGTGAAATGTTCACTCTGCATTTTTTTGGTGTTGTTATTGCAGCTATTGCAGGTGTGCATTTGTCAGACAAAACTGCTGGGATCCTTTCCACAATATTTGATGTTGGAGGAGTAATTGGCGGTGTTCTGGCAGGGTACATTTCTGATATGATTGAAGCTCGTGCCGTTACTTCAGTTTTATTCCTGTTGCTGTCTATACCTGCTCTTGTCTTTTACCGCATTTATGGAAGTATATCTATGCTTACCAATGTTGTGCTGATGTTACTTTCTGGGTTGCTTGTAAATGGACCATATTCACTCATTACAACTGCAGTTGCAGCTGATCTCGGTACACAGAGCTTGATTAAGGGGAACTCTCGTGCATTAGCTACTGTGACTGCAATTATAGATGGTACTGGTTCTGTTGGGGCTGCTCTTGGCCCACTTTTGGCGGGTTATATTTCAACTAGAGGATGGAACAGTGTGTTTTTTATGCTTATTGTTTCTATCTCTATAGCAGCTTTGCTCTTGATTCATGTTGTCAAAACTGAGATTAAAGGGAAGTTGAGTGAAGGAAAATGGCTTGGGTGGAGCGTAACAGCACGATGATGGAGAAATTTCTCAGGGCATCATATGTTTATGTTTTATTTGTATTGAAAAAGCCATTAGGGGTGGACAGATACAGACATGGACTCAGCGCTGGTCCCATTTTTCATTTATTTTATCTTTGTATTTTATTAGGAAAATGGTTTTCATACAGCAGAAACAGCTTTGATGGAGGAGTTTCTTTAGCTGTCATTCATGTATGTCTTTTGTATCTTATTAGGTAGTTGACTTTCATACGCTGTACATTAAGGATTTTGTCAAACCATGAGTATGACCTTGGTTGTATCTGTTTCTTCATATACAGATAAAAACTTGTTTGTTTCTGTGCAAGATGGTTCATCCAGTTTAGAAGATCTGTTTCTGTTTGCTTGCTTAGATCTGAGTTACTCTGTTCTTGTATTGTTCCACTTTTGCATTTGTATTTTTCTATGAGAAGTTGATTTCATGATAAAACTCAACTGTTAAAGGTGCATGTGATATCTATAGTTGATTTAGAGATTGACATTATGGATTTTGTTTAGGGTCTGCTAGTCTGTCAGGGATCCAATCCCCATAGAATCACAAACTTACCAGTGTACAAAAATTGCTTAATGCCAAGAGCTAGAAGTGAAATGTGAATAGCTGTGCTTTTATTATGTCGTTGTCAGATGACAATCTTCATCTGAAGATTGAGATCCTTCATTCTTATCCAGTGAAATTATCAGAGTGGTTGTTTTGCTTTGACTTGTATTGCTCCTTTAACTTCAATTAATTTCTGGGACTTGTTATTATGAGATAATGAAGCGGGGTATCTGTGCAGTTGCTAGCTGCTTAGGGTTTCTTGACCCTAATTATTTTTAAGAATTTGGTACTCGAGAAAATGAGTAGGGATTCTCAGTGGGCGCGCATGATTGTTCATTTTGGAAGAGAACATTAATGCGACTTTTCTGGCGATAGTTGATTGGTTCGGACAGGTTCAATTTAGGTACACTGCATAAATTGAAAGTGGAAATATTTTTGCTTCGCTTGGATTTTTGAGATTAGCGGGTTGAATTCGGTATTGTTCGTGGCAAAGGTTCATTCCTGCCTCTGGGTAAGAAATCTTGAAACTGAAAGATGTGAAGACACTTTTGTTTGAGCTTCCGTTGGAAAATCCTTGAAGACTTAAAAGCTCTAGGGACACTGAAAAATAACTCTGGTGACTGAAAGCTCTTTTGGACAGGGTAACTCGTTCTGTCTTGTTCAACGAAACCCTGAGGACGAGCAGTGGGTGTCACTTCCTTTTGTTTGAGCTTTCAGACAGCTTATCTCCAACATTGATGAAGACTGTTGTATGTCAGGTAACTCCCTGCTGATGAGGCTGGTACACTCAATCCACCTATTGCCACAAGCTCATTTGGTAGCACGACCTTCATCTCAACGCTGATTTGAGGCATTAAAGAAAGACATTAGAGTAAAAGGTATGTTACACAAATATTTGCACTCATCCCTTGCCATTTAACATCAGATCTTTGTTTTGGCTCAAAGCTTTTGCTTTTATATTTCTAAAGCTGTTTCTTAGTAGTCTTCTCTGAATTGCCATTAATTCATGAATTGGATCCGTGCATTGTGCATTAAAAATTAGTGATAGGAGTTGTTACTGTTATTTTGGACGTCAACATCATTTTTTAAATACATCCGCAATCTCTATCCATTTCATTTGTGACACCATCAAAGATTTTTGTTTATTTTCACTTCGCATATATTACTCTATATTCTCTTGAATGTAAATAGTAATTCTCTTTGAATTGAACTCCCTTACTTTTAGACTTTAGTCTATGTGCATGTTGTCTCTAAATAATTGAGAACCAAGAAAAACAAAAAATTATATTATAGTCATCCACTGTGAAGATTATGACACCTTGTGCATTGATGGGATTATAGATGAGGTTGTTTTCTGAATGAATTTTGTATATTCAATTATGTGTCAATACAAAGTATACATCTGATTTATATATCAACTCTAAACCTAAGACTAAATAGGAAACCAAAATAATCCTAAGAATATGAAATATTCACATAATCTCTGAACTATATACAAACATAGACTAATATTCTCACCCTTGCTCAAACTCAAGGTGTTTTAATAGAAAATACTGAGAGTTTGTCAAGAAGAAACCAAAATCGAGCAGTTGTGTGAGTCTTGGTAACGAAGTCAGCAAGTTGCAGAACTGAAGAGATGAATGGAAGCAAGATAGAGCCAAACTGCAGATGCTGACGAACGAAATGACAATCACTCTCAATGTGCTTCATTTGTTCATGGAAGACTGTTGTGGGCAATTTGAATAGCACTTCGGTTGTCACAGTATAGAAAGGTTAGAGAGGATTGAGGAATATCCAAATCAGATAAGAGACAATGAAGCCAAACAATCTCAGCAGTAGCATGAGCTATAGCACGACACTTATCTTTGGCAGTAGAGCAAGCAACAACAGTTTGTGTCTTGCTTTTCTAAGAGATCAAGGAATCGCCAAGAAACATACAGAAATCAAAAGTGGACTTGCGGTCATTAATATTATCAGCCTAATCAGAATTAGCATAAGCCACGAAATCCAAAGAGGAAATAGAAGACAATAGTACCCCGGAGATAGCCTAGAATCCGAACCAAAGCAACCCAATGTGTAGAATGAGGAGCAGAAATGAACTGACTAACCACAGGAATAGTTTAAGCAAGATCAGGATGAGTAATCTTCAGATAAACTAAGCAACTCACAAGCTCTCAATATAACGTGGGATTATCCAAAAGGACACCATCAGTAGTGTTAAGCTTCACACATTAAGCTCAATTAGGGTATCAAAAATCTGTGTGTTAGTAAGACTGACACGGTGAATAACCTTATTTGCATAGTTGGCTTGAGACAGAAAATAGTCATTGGGAGAAATAGCAACCTCAATACCAAGAAAATACCGTAATGGGCCTAGATCTTTCAATTTAAAGGTGCAAAAGAGATGGTGCTTGACCTCAGAGATAATAGAACAGTCAGAGCCAACGATGATCATATTATCCACATACAGTAATAAGGCAGCAAAACCAATTGTTTGAAACCCAAACTTAGTAACAACTGTCTGAAAGCTATCATACTAAGCACGAGGAGATTGTTTCAAATCATACAGAGCACGCCGAATACGACAAATCTGTCCAGAGGAATGAGGAAGGCCAGAGGGAGGATGCATGTAAACCTTCTCGGTGAGATGACCATTAAGAAAAGTATTCTTAACATCTATCTGATAAAGAGGCCAATGACGAACAGTAACGACAAAGATCAAAGTACAGACAGTAGTCATCTTGGCAACAGGGGCAATAGTCTCTTTATAATTAATACTATACTTCTGTGAGAAACCTTTGGCAACTAGGCGCGCTTTGTAATGCTCAAGAGAACCATCAGAATAAGTCTTGACTTTGTAGACCCATTTGCAACCAACTGGATTCTTATCAGCAGACAAATGAACCAGCTCCTAATTATTAGTTTTTTTGCAAAGTAGACAATTCATCCTCCATAGCTCAAATCCAATTAGGATTATGATAGGCCTCCTTGTAAGACCGGGGTTCTAAAAATGAATGAAGAGCAGATAAGGAGATACAATATGAAGTAGAAAAACATCAATTAGAAAAGCCCAACCTGTCCAGGGGATGAAGTTTGTGATCAAGATATTGGCAAGCAGCAGGATCAGTGTCTTCAGAAGCAAGAGGAGCAGCAGGAGAGGCAGAGAGAATAGGTAGAGAGAGAGCCTTGCGATGAGAATAGACTAACAACGGAAGGGGAGGAGGAGGAGGAGAGCGAATAAACTCATGGATGATAGTGGAGAGGGACTTAGCAGGAGGGGCGGTAAGAGGAGAAAAGGGAATAAGCTCATAGGAAATAGTAGACATGTACTCATCAGGGGGGACCTTAGAAAGAAATGGATCAATGTGAACCAAATCCTCTTTGAAAACTGAGGCTGTGAGAGGAGGAAGCTGAAAGTAAGGCAGACGTTTGAGAAAAACATGGCGGGAGACATAAAGGCGACGGGAAACAGGGTCATAATAGCGATAACCTTTATGAGTAAGACTGTAACTCAAAAAGACACACAGGTCAGACCGGAAACTATGTTTGGTCCTATATTTACGAGATAAAATGAAAAAACAACCAGACCCAAACACACGAAGGAGGGAGTAATTGGGAATTTGAGAAATTGAAGTCTTATAAGGAGACCGACTAGAGAGGAGAGTAGGCATACATTGAGAAGAAAAGTAGCAGTAAGAATTGTCTTTCCCCAAAATAAAGCCGGAACAGAGGCAAGAAGAAAAAGAGACCTAGTTGTCTCAAGGAGATGACGATGTTTATGCTCAGCTTGACCATTTTCTGCAGGTGTATTAGTACAAGAAGTTTGGTGAATGGTACCTAAATTGGCTAAATACTTACAGAACCCAAATTTAAAATATTCTCCACCCAAGTCAGACTGTAACAATTTAATAGTAGATCCAAACTGTATAGTGATCATAGACTGAAAAGTACAGTATATCTGGTAGAAATCAGACTTATGAGTCATAAGATAAATTCAAGTGTAACGGGTGCAGTCATAAACAAATAACGCATGGTATGTAGAACCCCCTTTGGTAAGAACAGAAAAAGGACCCAGACATCAATATGAACTAAAGAAAATGATATATCAGATATAAAAGTACTTTTACGAAAATGTGAAGTTGTCATTTTGGCAAGTTTACACTATTGTTACTCGGTAAATTGACTAGGAGAAACTTTATCCAATATGCTTGACTGAGCTAAAGATTATAAGTGGTCAGCAAACAAATGCCCTAATCTAGAATGTCACAAATAGAAATGACTTGACAGAGAATCTAACTGAAAAGAGGAAAAGGCAGTTGGAGAGATAGGCAAATGCAAGCTCTTCACTATATAGAGATCTCCAACTCTACGGTCGGTTTCAATTTGTTGCTTGGACATTTGATACTGCACAGAATAGATAGAAGAAGAAAAGATAACATCAAAACTGGAGGCATCAAACTAACCGATAGATAATAAACTGACAGATAACTGAAGAACATATAAGACAGATGAAATAGAGACAACATACATAGCAGATGGTAGAGCAGACCCAATAGATATAATTGACATATCAGACATATTAGTAGCATTAACAGTAATAGAGAAGGAAGGAGGGTACAATTCTAAAATAATGCGAGATGAGGAGTCATATGATGAGAGGCACCAGAGACAAATCCATACAGACGAAGAGATACCTGAAGAAGACCCAAGCAAACCTGAATGAAGGGAGGAAACAATGGAGGTAGACAGGAATGGCTAGGAGGTAGACA